TTTATGCATGTAAATTTTTGCACGTAAAATTTTTTTATATGTATATGTATAGGATGATTATATATTTTGTTATCAAAAAAGTTATAATTTAAACAACACCTTCGTTCAGTTTTACATATATCGAATTTTCATTCTTTAACAAATAAACACAAAACAAGAAACTGCAGATTAAAATAATTCATCGACTAGAAGCAGAAGTTGAAATCATTATTGATACAAATCCAAGTTTAGGAAAACTATACCCAATTCTACGAATTCTACGAATATCGACGAATGTCCAACTATTAGAAAAAAAGCGAGACTAGGTTTGCAATCAGGTAACAGTAGCGAGAAGACAAATGATGTGAAGGACAATGTTAAGACTACCGCAGGGATAAGTTCACAATCTTCTTCTTCTCTTCTTCTTCTTACATCAGACCTCTGGCCTGTGTTACGCCTCTCTTATATGCTTGTGCGCACGTTGATTATTCAATTGATTGACAAGCATATGTGATCTAGTTTTAATGCCGGTTCCGAACGGCCGATTTTTTAAGAGGTGTTTCTGTGATGTTTCAAGAAAATACTCTCGGGAAGTTGCCGACCTTTTCCAAGAGGAGACGCGAGCGTAAACATTTTGGTTCCTACTGAGATCAAACCCGGGACCTCTGACATGATCAGTGCGCTGTCTGTCATGCCGCGCTCGGGCTCACAATCAAGTGACAATCCGCGTGAAATCGACTTAATGCGTAATCGTGCGAAAGTGGTTCTATACTAACAAAGGAGACTTCATCGATATGGATAGCAGTCTGTTTCAATCTTACCAGTGACGATGGCCCATTCGCTGTCGTTTATTTTCGCAACAGCCATTTCTTCTCTTTTTGTGTTCCGTAAATGGAAAGGCTATATATAAAGATTGCACTAGGAACGTGAAGTTGGCTGGGTGCGCGCGACCGGGGGTTGGTAGCGGCAAGCGGTGAGCGGCGAGGGTTGAACGGGGACGGAGTATGCGCGATGGTGTAGCTATTCGATAACGAAGGGAGGCGCGGAGGAGAGCGACGAGCTCTGAACGAGCGCGTGTACACCTTTGTGTATACATCAGGGAATTCGTCATAGGTTAACGGGAGGTAAATGCGCGTTCGGTAGACACGACGTCCCACTATCTGCGAAGAGCACCGCGGATATGTGACGATGGTCCCATCTTCGACCTGGAGAGGGCTGTTCGGGAGTGATCAATTCGTGCGACATGAACGTTTCTCTGTGAGCCCGGCCTGAAAATCGGTGAGCACGGTGAGCCTGCGAGAGAACCTTAAGAATATGGTGAGGCTCGTATTATCCGTGAAAAGGACTACATGAGAGCTTTAGTATCGTTTTCCAGAGGATTGCGAGGCTTTTATCGTCTATTGAGATAAGATCGTGAGAGTTTCAAGAACATAAGGCTTATACTTATATAAGGCCGCATCGCCCAAAAGAAATTTTCGAAGAAAGAAATTTTCGACGAAGTTCTTAAAGTCGAATGCGACATCAATCGATGGTGAAAAAAAATCACTCACGTTTCTATCAAGAAATTTATGCTAGGAATTTATCGAGAACGAAGCCCGAAATCGAACAACGATACAAGGTATGATGATAGATGGTAGATGTTAAAAACTATATACCAGGAGATAAACTAGTATCGTTCATAAACCGAGTTTAATGATCTCGTGAACCTATATACATTGAACGTCATATTTAAATAGGATTCACAAAGGGAATGAAGAACATGTATAACGCGGACAAGGTAATGCGGACAAGGATGAACGACAGTGTCCTCTACTGATCCTGCGTGGTATCTTCTGTAACATGAGATGGAGGACTCGTGAAAGGTGCGGCGAGATCGGATTTCGTAATTCGATCGCGCAGCCATACGCGATTCGGTCAAGGAGAATCTCGACTTCGAGGAACGTCAGCGTTTCCGAGGTCGGATGTGCCGGATCGATCTGGACGAGAAGGTTGACCGATCGTCGGTACCGACAGCCTGGCGGTTCCCTGGAACACCAGGCATAAGGTGTCCAATCGATTCGGAGGAAGCACGACCTTCGAGTCACGTGCGCCACCGACCGACCGACCGACCGAAAGTTGATGATACTAGCGGCTGCCGTGTACGTGAGGGATTCGAGGATCAGGGAAAAATCTAAGAAAGAAGGAAGCCGAAGACTCGTCGCGTCCTTGATCCTCGCGCAGTGCCCGGAAGATATATTTATTTCCGACCGTCCAAGAATAATCTCGGCTTACTCGACTTATTCCGGCACGGGTCGTGGTACCACCCTGTAGAACTCGGTCGCTCAACGGGGGATCCAAAATCACAAAAGGTCTAACTATCTATATACCGTTAGTGACTGGTACTACCGAGTGCACAACACTTGGAGAACTGTTCCGCGGTGGCGGCGGCGGCGGCGGCGGCAATTGCGGTTCGATACCGGCAGTCAATGACGCTAGCGTTCTAATTTTATCGCGATGTAACATTGCGCGCCGATGGCGATCGCACGGAAGAGGACTCGCATTTTCCGCTCGATTCGTCGTGGGTTGTGGACGGTGAGCCGGCCAATCGATATATTGCCCGACGTAGAAAATTCCGCCTTCCGAAACGCGCCGCGACGGCGGCGGCGACGACTCCTCGACGTAATAAGGACAGTTTACTCCCGCATGAGGCGCACATCGTTGCACCATATGGCACCGAGTACATTGCATATAGACAACGTGAATGCTAGTCGCAAACGGGATCCTTTGCTCACGTTCTAGATCGAGCTTCTCGATTTTATGCTAATCAGGCAGGCCGGATGGATTGCGCGCGAGCAATAAAGAGAGTTTCGATCGATTCGCGGACTTTTCTACGAAGGGAATTTTGTATTCAGAACAAAACCGTCGATAGAGTTAAAGAGACGTGACATGCGCGAGACTTTAACGCACGCAATTATAAAACATTAGCATCGATTGCTATCGCGGGAGCTGCTAGAGGCCGCAACAAGATTATACGTGTTTTAGTATATATGTATCATTACGTGTTTTAGTTTGTCATTTATATTATCTCGTTCGCTTTTTCTCCGTTATTAGAACGCAACAAAGATAGTAACATCTAAAGGGATGAAAATTGAAAAAATCTGACAGCGAGCGACTGTTAAGAGGAATCAATAGTTCATTTTTAAAACTATAATAGAGATTAATAAAGGGTTGCGAGGGTTGTACACACACACCTTATCCTCCAAATACGAGCATCTAGCGGAAGGAATCAAGGAAACGATACGATCGACTGAAAATATCGAGGAATTCGATATAGTATCGGTAACCGTTTATTTTATAGATCTATGTGAAGAAAATAAAAGGATACGGATCTAAGCATGATAGAAAAACCGATAGGCGAGATAATACAACGAAATACACTGTCCGAAGCGATTCTAACAGACTCCAGAATGCGAGAGTTCTTCGAAATATCCTGCGTGAAAGCATAGACGACTTCAAGATTATCCACATGGTGTTCGCCGAATCTTTCGGTTCAACCCGATGAGAGAGAGTACGAGGTACGAGTACGGTTCTCGCATTCGATGCGCATGTCCAGTGCCTTGACTACCGGGACGCCTATACCTTCATCGGCGTCGCGAAGCACTCGGGAAAGCGACACACATATCAAAGTTTTGCCGCGTATTCGCGATAAAGTCGCGTTTCGTTCATCGGCGTGATATCACTGCGCGAGATTGACGAGTCGCCATCGAGTGTACGCCAAGTACGAAAGTAAAAGAGAACAAGTACTGAGGGCGCGCAAGGAGAGGAAAAGAGGATCTCCTTCCGCGCAAGGACGGGGAAGGATTAATTCGCGCGCGAATTACGGATCATTGGAAGCGGAGGAGTAAACGATAGATACTCAGAAAGCGAATAGAGGAAGAGAAAAAGAGAGATCGCTTCTTTTTATTATTATATAATCGAAAAATCGGCTGTGCTGCTATTTAATCAGAGCTTAATGCACGCGCGAGCCGCGTGCGCGCGCGCACGCGCTTCGAGTTTTTTATTACCACTCGGAATCGGCTGTGCTGTTAATTAATCAGAGCTTAATATACTTAGCGCGTTACCGCGTAGTGTTCGTTCGTAAGCGTCGTCCGTTTTTCGAGGACTCCAGTTGAGGGGGAGGGAAAGAAAAGATAGAAGACGGCGACTTCTTTGACTATTTTTGCTATACGTCTTTTCCGATCGCTTGTTTACGACGCGACCGCTCTCGTCGCGAGATCGCAGAGTCATTTTCGACTCTGTGAGAATCAGACTGCAATTAGCGATTCCTCACCCATCCCCCTCCCGTCCGATTTCAGCGACTGCCGCCGCGGTGCCGGGTCGGCCGAAGGACCGATGACGGCTTTTGGAAATTTATGCGCTCGCTCCGCGCGACTTTGCCCAATGTAACTCATCGAGCAACGAAATTCGCGTCCCTGTCACACCGAATCGATCGCCGACACACAATTGTCGTCGGAAACGGACAATTTCTCGTCGCCTGCTTGATCGACCGTCTGTTTGTTTCCGGACTTCGTAGCGGAGAGTGTGCCGGAGGAAAAACAATCCTAAATCTTACCCCCGAGATCGGTGGGAGGGAAGTCCTGACACAAAGTCGAGACACGGTCAGCACGGTACTCCGTTTCTCGCCGCTTGTATATATGTGCGCGCTTGTCCTCAATACATAATTTTCAACATATATATCTACGGCGGCAACAGCAGCAGCAGCAGCAGCAGCAGCAGCTCAGAGAAAACAATAGTAATAAAGAAGAAGATAGTAATAAAGAAAGCTCAATGTTCCTCGGCGATCGAAGTCCCATAATCGATCGTTGCAATTCGTTATTCTCGCTCAACGTTAGTCTCAATATCGCTAGCCGCTCACAGAGACGATTCGATCATGTCATTTCGTAATATCCTGCGAAAGTGCATCGAGAAGACGCGCCGCATGATCGTTCACGCGCTCAAGAGATGAACCGCCGCCGTGTAGACCAAAATCGCGAGTTATCGCAAACGTGGATTATCGGCGTGCCTGTCGAAGGATGTCGAAGCTGATTTGTCACTTCCGTACTTCGGGCACGGATTGATCGAAAAAGGGAAATTCGGAGAAACTGGAGCCGAAGGCAATCGAGGGCGGATTTCTGCGCGGCCATGACCAAGTACGGCTTCGCCAGACTGGCTCTATGGCGGCCGAGGCGATCCATGACCTCTCAACCGTCGAACAACCAGGAAAACAACCCTCTAATGTATGCTATAATTGTACTTTGCACTCCAATATGTATAAAGGGTGTACCGAAAGTCACACGCTTTCGCTTTGGCAACAAGAAAATTACACTGAGAGAAAGCAGTAGTAGCAACTATGAAGGTGATAAGTTTCATATCTAATATTAACATACATAATTTAATAAATTAATGTTTATATAAAACTTGTATTTGCTATTAAGTTGCCATCGGTATGTCTTCTTTTCTGAATGTGGAATT